TGCTTCTGCCTCCTAAGACCTGGGACTGATGGTGTGCACCACCACACCTAGCTGAACTCTGGGATTTTAGATTTGAAATTTTGGGCTAGAAGGCGCCTGTTACCTTCCAGCTCTATAGGAACCCCGACCTCAGTCCGATTACCTCAACATCCCTTTGACGATAGGGAAGCAGAGATTTAGAGCCAAGACTCCTACTCCCAGGGGCCCTTTGTGAACGCTGTGGCTGTGTGGCTCCTGCCAAGTGGCATGCAGCTCCAGGAGTAGGCTGACACTTACTCTGGCTAAGGTGATAGGGTCGGGGAGCTCTGCACACAAACCATTTTCTACTATAGTTATGGCACCGGGTGCTGTGCTTAAAAGGCACCACACTCTGCCAGGCAACCAGGCCATTATAGGGATAAATATAGATGTAGACAGCCAGGCGAGGGTTGCGGCAGGGGTTGGCTCTGATGCTCTCCTGGGACCCTATACTGAGCTAGGTCACACTGGGCAGGAGGCTGGTTAAGTCTCACCTAAGCTCAGGTTCTTGGGAAGGTCCTCTTCATGGCCTCCAGGCTACATGTGCACCTCAGCCACCTAGGGTCTTCCCAGTGTTACTATAGGGGCTGGCCAAGTGGTCATCAGGTAGCAAGGCAGTAGCCTTTCCTATCAGGTCCTTCTCTTATTATTCCTCCCTTCTAGGTCTCTGCCCTTCATCTGCAAAGTAGGCTTGGGTACCATACCTTTCTCCTGCCTCCCTGGAAGCTGAGGAATAGACTCAGAGTTCTCCAGGCTGCTGAGTGCTCTGAGCACTTAGGGGACCTCAGGAGTGAGTCTGGCCAGAGGGAGGACCTTAACTAATGGAGAGTTTCACTTTGAGATAGGCTTGACCTTTGGCTCCCACTATGATGCTCACACCCACCAGGGGAGTGCCATGGGGCAACTAGGCACTGCCTAATTATGTGTGAATGTCTCCCCTCTGTATCAGTCAGTTTTTCTGACTATAAATAAGGTATGGCCAAGGCTCCTTTGAGTCTTGGGGGTGTGGCTACAGATGCCCCTCTGTCTTTCCTGAGCTCTCCATACCAGGGGCAGAGACTAACTACCTCAACCATGGTCACACCACTGACACATGGCAGTCCCTTACCCAGATGAGCTTCTTGGGACACAACTGCTAAATAGTCAAACAACCAACCATGTGCAGGACAAAGCAAGCTTCTGCTCTTAGGTTGCCCATTTCTTGGATGAAGAAATTGAGGTCAGGGCTGGGGTTAGAGTTCAGGGATAGGACAGTTGACCGAGCATGCTTGAGGCTCGGCTACACAAATAAATGGTCAGTTAGACAACTGACAGATGGATGGATGGATGGATAGATGGAAGGAAGGAAGGAAGGAAGGAAGGAAGGAAGGAAGGAAGGAAGGAGTAGGAGGGAGCCAGTGAGCGAGCTGATGAATGAACTGAGGTCAGAGAGATTAACAGGTTAGGCCTGGGTGTGGTGGTGCATACTACTAATCCCAGCACTGAGGAGGCAGAGGTAGACAGACCTCTGTGAGTTCCAGGCCAGCCTGGTTTACAGAGTGAGATCCAGAATAGTCAAGGCTACATAGAGAAACCCTGTCTCAGAAAAGAAAACATCAAAAAAACAGAACAAAACAAGTCTAGGCTAAGGGGTTGACACTTCCCAGCATTCTTCAGTCCATAGGTAAGTAGGCAATGACAGCAAGCAGTACCAGTGGCTACCTACAACTCCCAGCTTTCTGTGCCCAGAAATCCTGCCCTGTCCTGAAAAACACCTTCCCACAAACCCTCCTCCACATCAAATCCCTGGCACCCTGATAGTGAAGCCAGTGTCCCTCCAGGGACTCAAGAGTGGCAAGTTCATAATTTTCTAGGTTGTCACCCAACACTCAGGACCTCATTTGGGACGAAGGGTAGACTCCCATTCATCACACAACATTTTACTGGGCACTTACTATGTTCCAGGTACTGTTCAAGCATGAAGGCACACCCTATTCAGTGCCCATTGGAGGAAGAGGGAGGCAAATACCCTCAGAAAAACAAAGGTAAAGGGACAAGGATATGCCTTCTCCCTCCTGTCTCTTCCTCAGGTTTTATGGGACAATAGTGTGGCTGTAGAGAGTGCTCCAACACACTAAACAGTAATCTCCTTGACCTCCACAGGAGCCAGATTCAGGAAGCAAATAAGGGCAAAGGCCATAGAAGGCACCTCTAGCCCTGGCTTAGGAACCTTAAATCGTCTCTCCTGGACAGCAAGAGGTGGAACATGATTGGATGGCCACCATCTCTAGCTGCCTGGCCTGGATGGCAGGGTGACCCAGCCTCCTGCTTCGACAGAGTCCACACTGACCTTTCTGAAGCCATGTGCTGGCTGCAAAGGCAGAAGGCCGTTTTCTAGAGGTGTTCTTTCTGCTCCTGCCTGAGCCTCCAGCCTGTTGGGTAGGGGAGGGGTAAGAGGGGAAGGCAGGAGCTTCTCAGCAGGCAAAGATGCTATTCCTCCTGACAGGAGTGCAATTATTAGAGAGAGCTTTTTTGTCCTCTGCGCAAGCCTCAGAGCCCAGTGAGGGCAGTCCCAGGTGGGGAGACGGGGAACCCACATGGAATGCACCGCCTCAGATAGTGCTCTTCACACTTTGGCAGGGCAGAGCCTTCTGCCCCCAGAACAGCCCAGAAGGGCCAACATCTAGATTCCAGGACTCGTCTCTGCATAGAAAGGTGGATAAGGGCCCTGAAAAAAAAATCCCAGAAGGGATTCTGAATGCAGTTATGCGAATCAAGTGTACTAATATTCCCAGGAACAATGGGGATGACAGCTGTTCCCAAGTGCTTCCCGCACCAGTCAAAGCGCCGGCACACAAGCTCTTTGTCATCTAGACTGATCCTCACAACTCTCTTTAAGGAAACACAATTACCCGGAAAGAAAAGGGAACAGAGGGTGCACACCTCATTATTATACAGATAGGGAAACTGAGGCTCCATTTGGCCCTCTTTTTTCATGTAGTCCCCTAGAGTTTTTGTTTCTCACACCATTGGAGGAGGGCTTGAAATATAATCAGAGAGCATCATGCAGGGTTCCTTACTTTTAAGAACACCTGCCCAGTTCCTTAGCCCTAGCCTCCCTGCAGCTCTGCAAATGGGCTGCTATTGCAGTTTGCCTCATCTCACAGATGGAAAAACACCCAGGCCTAAAAGGAAGGGTGTGTGTGTGTGTGTGTGTGTGAAGGCATGGAGGCAGGAAGTGACAGAGGCCAGGAGTACTCAAGCTCCCACAGGCTTTGTCCTGGTTTTTCTATGCAGAAATGCATCTGGTAAACCCTCTCACTCCAGCAGGCTGGGTCACCATCTCAGGACAGCCCCAGAGCTCAGAGCTCCCTGCCAGGGTGGCAATAAACTCACTCCTTCATGTTTGGGCCTGGTCAGTTTCCAAGTGGTCCTGGAAATGAGCCCACTTTACAGGTGAGCTGGAGATTCAGAGTTGAGGCCACCATCCCACTTCTGGTCACAAAAAGGTGTTAAAGGCAGGTCTACCACAACTCCCGAACTGGGGTTGTCCATAGGCCACCAGAAGTGACAGACAACCAAAATGCCTCCCATCCTTTGGGAAAAGGGTTCTCTTCCAATTCAGAGAGCACTGTTCTTGACCTCACAAGTGGAGTTGCAGTCAGATGACCAGTGGTCAGAGAACACAGGACAAGGAGCAAGGAGGCACCCCTGGCTCTGGCTCAATCCTCAAGCATCGGGGACCTTATATAGTTTCTCCTGGACAACATGTCTGGATGGTTACCCTCTCCAGCTACCTGCCAAGATGGCAGGATGACCAGGCCCTCCTAATTTGACTAGCTCACACCAAGTTCCCTTTGAGGTCATGTTTTCCAAGGTGAGGGAGCTGAATTCTGGAAGTTATGCTACAGCCTCAGCAGCCTGGAAGAAGGCAGAAGAAGGGAGCATCCTTCCTCTGCAGGAAGGATGGTAGCAAGGGAGAACCCTGACCCTGAACTAGGGACTTCTCAGCAGGAACTGGCCTGGCAACGATGTCACTACCACAGAAGCTGTAAATGCCCCAAGGGGTAGAATAATATACTGTCCCACCTCTGGGTGACAGCTCCATACTCCTACATGATGGAGATCTTTGGTCAGACAAAACAATGGACGGTGGGGCTAATTCTTAAAGACCTTTACCCTTCCCCCAGAATACTTATGGGGCAGGAAGAATCAGTACAAGGCAGACCCTGTGAACGGCCACTCAGTTCTGGATTGCTATTGCACCTGTGACCTTGGGCACTTCCAGCTCCCTTTCCAGCTCCCTTTTGAGGTAGCCCCTTACCCAAAGACAAGCTTGCCTACTAAAGGTAGGGTGAGGATACAGGAGGAGAGGAGATGGAAAGAAGGGCATTAGTCTCCTTTATTTTTTCCAGGAGCATCGCTGCGGGGATGGGAAGGAAGGAAGAAGGGCTTCTCGCTTCCTCCTCCACCCCTTGGAACACACAGGTGCCAGACAGCTTTTGCGCAAAAACTAGTTTGCAAACACACTCCGACTTCTGGAAAACTGCCCAACACTATTCCCCATCTTTTCTCTCTGACTGGAGCAGAGGGAGTCGGCCCTAGGGCCAATCTGAACAGGGCCGGGTCGGGGTCAGGGTGGGGTCAAGGGGTGAGCCCTTCCGTCTAGAGCGCACGGTGCAGCTGTGCTGGTGGCAATGGGAGGCCATCCCCCAGAAGCCATCCCGACATTTAACAGAGTTATAGGGTCTTTCCCCCCACCCCCATCAAACAGCTAGCCAGTGTCCCCGAGGCAGCCCAGCCACCGGCCACCCGCAGACGGGCGCCCCCGCGAGGCAGGGTGATAGCTAAGTCACCCGGGCTTGCTGCGGGGTGGGGGTGGGGGTGCGGCCATGGACGTCGGAGTCCCTCCGGCAGAACCCGCTTCCCTCGGAGCCCCAGGCCGAACTTGGGCGCGCAGTGCCCGGCCCACCCTCACCGCACCCGCCGAGGGCCCCACTCACCGTGCGTCCCGCAGCCTCAGCGTGCTCCGGGCCGCCGGGGCATCCCCGCGCGCTGTGCTGTCGGCCGGGCGGCGACGCGGGACAGGCTCAGGGCGCTGCCCGCGCGGCCGTGCCCACTCGTGCGCTCGCCCGGGCTAGGGCCGGCCCTCCTCGGGCCGCGGCTGCGGCGCGGGCTCCTCCCTCCTGTCGAGGGAGGATGTGGGCGGGAAGCGGGCGCGAGGCGGGCGCTTCCTGGAGGGGCGGCTCTCCGGGCTGCACCGGGACCTGTCCCGCTCCCGGCTTGTGCCCACGAGGACCTGGACGCAGCAGGCTGCCACTGGGCGCGATGCCGAGGGTTCGCACCCAGTCCCGGGCCCGCCGCTCTAGGCGTCAGGCACCACGGAGCTCCGCGCGCTGCTCTCGGGCTGAAGACTCGGGAACCCGGGGTGCGATCGCCCGGCTCTCCGGACCCCGGGGCACCGCCCGCGGCTTCCACTCCAAAGCGTTCGGGGCGTAGCGCCGAGCCCTCGGGGAGTCGCCCAGGGCTTGCTTCCGAGCTGTTGGGACCGCACTGGAACCGCAGTGTTTTTCTTCTTTTTTATTTTATTATTTTTTTCTTTCAATAGCGTTTTCTTGCCGCCAGAGACTGGGAAGATGACACATATTCCCGTGACAAAGACGATGAGATAAAGACGTTTGGAGTGGGATTGGGCTCAACGGGAGAGCAGTTCTGTGGAGCTGAGGCCTCCCCTCTGGGTAGTCCGCTTTTGACCCAAAAGAGACACCAGTTCTTAAGGGACTATTCTGACCCTGGGCAGCTGGTGGCCACTCAGTGATATTTTATACCCTCTGAACAAGTTAACCACTGGACACTAGAACCAAAACTCTTTTAACCAGGTCCCATGAAAGGGACATGACTGTCCGGAGATCTCATAGTCATGGCTAAAGCCCTTGACCCTGGTGTGCACGGACTGCTGCGCGGCTGAGTGTTAAAGCCTGGCGTTTGGGTTGTAGGTTTTCTATTCCAGACAGATGAGGGTTAATGCAGAGACTCATGCTGTAGCTAGTATGAACTCCCTCTATGTCTGAGTCACAGGCACTTTGCAGCCTTAGAAAGGGCAGCCACCAAGCAGCCCCAGGGCATAGAGCTTTGTTCTCTGCCTGCCTGTCTTGAGAGCATCCTACATCTTTCCAGAGTCTCCTCAGTCTTCTTGCACCAGAAGTCCTTGATGCCCTCTGCTCAGCTCTGGGACAAAGCAACCTGTGGGGCCTCTTAGAGCCGACTGCACATGTACCTCCTCCAGTAAGACTTCTTTGATTGTCCTAGTTAAGCTGCAGGATCTCACTAGCCTTCAGGTACTGGAGTAGAATGTGGAGACTGGATAGTCTTAAGCTGATGGACTCTGGGGAGCAATGCCAGGTCCAGGTAGACAAACAGGTGAAAAGTTCATGGTTAAAGGTGATTAGCATAGAGACCCATCTCAGCCATACTCTTGGCCAGCATTCTTCTAACCCCAGAAGAGTTCCAGTGACTGGACTGTCCAAGGGGAAGATGTCACTAGGGCCTGGTGGGGAAGACAAAGTACTAAAGTCAGGGGTCACAGCAATTCCATTCCTAGGGACCTACTTACTCAAGAGAAATAAAAATGTATATCCACACAAAAAGGTGAGCATGAATGTTTGTAACAGCATGGTTCACAAAGAGCCAAAAACTAGGAAAGATCCAACATGTAGCAACTGTTGGTAAAGGAAAGTTCAGTGCACAGTGGAGTATTACCCAGGGAAAGTACTGAAACATTATGGTAGGGATGGTTTCAGAGGAAGCCAGTCATAAAAAGCCATATACTGTATAAGTCTGTCCAGAGAGGCATCCACAGAGGAAGTAAGGGCGTCAGAGGGAGAACAGGGGTGGTTGCTATTTGATACAGGGTTTCTTGGAGGGACAAAAAAGGTTTCAAAATTAGAATAGAGTTTATGGTTTGGATCTGGGATGTCCCAAAGGCTCACGTGTTGAAATCTTAGTCTGTAAACCATTTCCCTATTGGGAAGTGATGGCAACTTCAGAAGGTGAAGCCTGGTTTGAGAAAGTCTTTTCCCTTAGTCCGTGGTGCAATGGGTTTCCCACCATACCTCTGTTCTTACACCATCATGCGGTGTGATGTTCTGCCTCTCGGAATGCCCAGTAGCAATGGAGCCAGCATACTGTGAGCCAAAACCACAAACCAGAGGAAGTCCTTTTGGTGCTGATCTCAAGTGTTTTGTCACATCAATGAAAAGTTGACTAATAGTCTTGTCACTAGATAAACCCAAGTATCAGACATTGGTTATATCTCAATAAAGCTGCCTGAGAGCCAAGGGCAGAGGTCAGTAAACACTGGCCAAGGGTTTGTCCCAGATTACTGTCATACACTGCATACAAGCGGCAAGACTGAAAAGTGGGGGGTGAAGATTTGCTTGCACTGGGAGCCTAGAGCATTTTCTGTGCAGATGGGAGGCCTGAGCCTCTTAAGAGTCCCCTGCAGGGTGCCTGTAACAGCACAAGTTTCTGGGATTTCTTTCCCTGGTGCTGGTCATTTAGACAAACTGCTCAGAGTTACCCAGGTTGCTTGCAGCCTTCCCTGTGCTTGTGAGTCAAAAGCATCCTGCCACCAGGAGCTGGATGGACCTCAGGTGTGTGGAAGGGGAGGGGACAGAGGGAGTTGTGATTATAATGTGTTCACCACTACCCAGAAGCACATCTCTTGGGTCTGAGATGACCTGGGTTCAGTGAGGGCAAGTTTTGCCTGGGTTCTCAACAGTTTGGGTCAGACCACAGGAGGCCTGGCCTCTCAAGCTTGGATGAGATCAGGAACATTCAGGGTGCTATGGTCATAGGAGGGCTTTCTTCCACTGCTGATGATAGCTGCCCACCCACTGGTGACTAGAGGTGTGACCTCCTGGTGACCATTCCGTGGGACCTATGCGTCCTGGTAATCTTCAGCAAGCTGGCCATTGAAAAGTCTTTCCTGCAAATTCTGCATGAGACCTGCTCTGGCTGGCCAAAACAACCCAGGAAGGATGTAGGACAATTTCTCTTTCTGGGGGTGGGGAGACCCTTGACTGTAGAACACCCGGACCTGCAGGCTACTTCAATCCCCAGCATAGGGCTACTCCAAGGTTCTCTTTTGGCTTCTTAGAAATGGAGAACACCAGTTCCAGGAAGCCCAGGCTCGATGAAGCTGAACCCTCACATTTACTGTGCACGGAGGTTTTTTATAACTGGACCTTTATAGGGAGCTTTCTCATCAGTTCAAGGCAGTTTGGAACAGTGGCTTCCAGGCAGCTGTGTGTGCTGGGCCACAGGACAGAGAAAGCGGGAAGGCTTCAGGTCTGAGACAGAAGGAGTAGCCATGATTCCCATCAGGAAGATGGACATCCATTCCACCTGAACCCCTAGGATGATGAGCAAGTGACAAGCAGCACGAGGCCTCCCCTGCCCTGCAGGCAGATTTAGGTGCTCCCAGGTCAAGCCACAGTCCTCACCTCTTTGAGAAGGTCCTCACACTCCCTCCTGTTTGGATTTCATTTGCTCCTGTATATTTTTAAACTGAGCCTACTCCGGGAAGAAGCCGACAGGGACACTGGGCCCACTAGCTTTAGATGAAAACCTGCCAAGGTTCCCAAGCAGGTAGGCGGTAGGAAAGGAAGTTTCTCAAGGAAAAGAACAAGGAATTGGCACACCAACGTGAGGTGTGCCTAACCAGCTCACCATTGCCAGCCCCACATGGTGTGTTTTGGGGCCTGTTATGAGTTTCTTGGAGTTTAGAATTTGGGTGGAGTCGAAGAGTGAAAGCCAAAAGTAAGAGGAGCTGAAAAGAGAAGAGTTCATGTGTTCTGTGCTCTCTGTCCTCAGGTACCACCCTGTGCATGTCACTTGGCCTGGCACTTTTGGTGGATGTGCCTAGTTTCTTTCTCAAAATTTAACTATTCTGTCTTCAGTCTGGGCCAGACAGGTCAGCACAACTCCTACCAGCTGACCTGGCAACTTCCCAGGAAAGGCAAACAGAATTTAGACCCAAGATTTCTTCCTGCTAACTTCCCACCCATGATCATGATGGGTGACAACAGGTGTGCCTGATTCTGGCTCAATAAGGGCGTCTTGGTATGATGGATGGGCGTTGGGCACTTGGCCGAAGGACTTTCTCCTCATGCTTGGCAGGATGCCGGAGACAACGTGGAGGGCCAAAAAGGTCAGGGCCAAGTCATCCTGATTAGCCACAAGTATGCTTTGACATCCCAAGCTCCAAATGGAACAGTCTCCAACATCACCTAACCTCCTATGGGTCCCATGGCTTTACTGGTGAGATCCATGAGGAAATCACTGGTGGGCCAGCCTGCCCTCTAGTGGCACTGAGCCATAACTGCATTCTCCCGGCCTGGCTTTTCACAATGTAGTGGAAGGAGGGATTTGTACCCACTGAGAGTAGGTGCCATTCTGTCTCTTGGGGCATCTTATGACACTCAGCCCTAAAAGAGGAAGGGAGATATCATGTAATCAGCACTTACTGCTTTGTAGCAGGGACTTTGTTCACATTGTGTTCCTGAACTCATCAGTTACCTTGGGTCTAAACAGGTGTATACAGTGTGTGTGTGTGTGTGTGTGTGTGTGTGTGTGTGTGTATGTGTGTGTGTGTGTGTATGTGTGTGTGTGTCTAATGCAAAGAAACAGTTCATGCCTTACAACATAGGTAGCAAGAGGGCAAGTCACATTCCGTTCTCCACCATGTTCCCAGTGTGCCACACTCTTGTCCAGGCAACAGCAAAGGAGGATAGTTGGTTGGTGTCAAGATGTTAGGTGAGGCATTGCAGCAACCCAGGGATGTGTGTTGCATCTGAAGGTCACATCCACGTGGCTCCATCAGAGTAGCCGTGTCCATTCAAGTGGGAGGGCTAGACTAGCTCCTTCCCGCATCCCAAAAGAGTCTGTCATAGCTCAGGCTGTCCTGGAATTCAAAGTAGCAGAGAGGGCTAGGACTGGGGTTGCAGGCATGTGCTACCATGTGTGGCTTTAGACTAGCTCCAGAGAAGCTGGGGGAATATATATACATACATACATACATACATACATACATACATACATACATACTCCTTTATTTTACATATTGACCCAAGCTCCCTCTCCCTCCCATGCCCCCCACCCCCTTCCATCCCGTTCCCCTGGGGTTTGGATTTTTATGTACTAGTTCCCTATGTAAATACTGGTCATTGATTCAGAAGAGTTTAAGGGTTATGTAGGTCACCTGA